AAATATGATGTTTTTTTATTTTTATTTTAATTGCCTACTCATACAATATAAAAGTTTTACTTCAATCGCGTGTGATCCTTACGCGCACTCTTTTTTTTATTATTTACTATGCATTTTTTTCAGTTTTAGTAATAGTATATGCACTATTAATATTGCATTACACACATACATATTATATCGCCAATTACCGTCGTTTAGAATTTCGAATTTTGATTGAAATTTGTTCATGCATATTATTATCTCGATTCGTTTGTTATATTAATTATATATATGATCTCGAACATTGCGATAATAACGAATTTATAGGTATCATATTATATAATTGCGTATTAAATTTCTATTCTCGTGTACGTGGTGTTTTCTAGGTCATATATAAATTTAAATAATTATATATATATATCCATAGCTGGGCATTAACTCGTTAATCCGTTAATCGTTAATTAACGAAGTTAACATTTTGATTAACGGATTAACTTTTAAGTTACTTTTAAAAATGTTAACGGACACGTAACTTCCGTTAAAATGCGAGAAGTCCGTTAATCGTTAATCCAATGCCTACTATTTACCGCACGGCACAGCTTTAGCCATAGGCTTTAGCCAATGCCTTATTAAACGGCATAGAGAAAAGATTTGGACTACTCCTGAATGATGAACAGTGCCAACTTGCCGCGGCATTTCACCCAAAGTTTCGGTTAATGTGGCTGGAAACGTATGACAGCAGTAGAGAGGAATGCAGTAAGAAAATGCACGGAAAAAAAGGTAGAAGATCCCTTATGGCAAGAAGCAGCGAAAAATTCGAAGGACAGAGATAGTTTAAGTGGCGGAGGGAGCAATGCGAGTAACAACGATGATGACGAAAGGAAGACTTTTTCAATTCTGCCACTCAGTCTATAGAAAAACCAAAGAGCTACAAACTCTTTAAAGAATAAAGTGCAAATTCTCGTTAAAATGTGGCTGTATATGAAATCAAAAGACTCGTTCAACGATGCTGCCTTCCTCGGGGAACAGATATTCATAAATCTATTTATAAATACAATACTGCTATACCCTCAAGCGCTGCAGTTGAACGTTTGTTTTCCACGGGTAAAGAGATTTTGACACCAAAACGAGCCTCGCTTTCAGACGAGAACTTCAACATGTTAATGTTCATGAAGGGGAAATTGCACCTTATGCCCGACGCTTAACCCGTCGCGCGTTTCCTATTTTTCACAAAAACTAGCTGTAAATGGGAATTAAGGCATCGTTCCTTAAGGCAAATTGCTGGTACTTTCCGTACCTAAAATTATTATTTTTTTAAAACGATTAACATTTTTGAAAAAATTTACTTCGAAAAAATAAGATATTTGAGAAACTATAAACTATTGGACAAAAAATTATTTTTTTTTGAAAAAAAAATGTTTTCTTTATTTTGACATATTTTACTGCTTTAGGACTGCATAGAGACAAAATATAAAGCGCGTAAGCGCCGCGTCGCTGTCTAAAGGATAAACATTGGTACGGAACCCATAGGAATGTAAATAAAATTTATACTTATTGTTAAAATATCTGATATTTGATGTGCATATGTCTAATGATCATTTTGACCGCCAAATGGCATTTTTTTTTACTTTTTTCATTAAATCTCCGAAACCGCTAGACATGCCTTCATGAAAAATTGATCAGTTCTTCATAATTGTCAACACAAGTGAAATGTTTTTTGAATTATTAAAATCGGACGCTCCGTTCTCTTAAAAACTGAGTTACCGTTTTTGGCTCAATTTTGCCCCATATCTTCGGAACGGCTAGACCTGCCTTTGCCAAAAACTAATCAGCACGTCTTGTTATCAATACGAATCGAATGTTTTTTGAATTATTCAAATCGGTTGATCCGTGTTCCCGAAATCGCCGACGAAAATTTGTATCCGAATACACATACATACACACACACACATACATCAATTTTTTCTAAGGTATGCCAAAATATTCAGAAACCTTTGAAACGTCGAGAAATGCAAAAATTTTCATTTTCGATTTTTTTGCGATTACTATAACTTGCCCTACGGGAAGTTAAAAAAACTCTTTCCCTTTATTTAGAAAAAAATTCTTGTAAAAGCAATATGCAATCATAAAAACGGAAAGTTGACCAATAGCGTTATCACGGTATGTGATAATTGTGCCATTTTCCTTATACACACGGAAGTGTGCATAAAACGCGCGAGGGGTTAAATTACACATTTGAATTATACAAGTATTTTGTTTTATTCATAACCTGTTAACTTCCAGAACCTAAACTAATAAGTTTTTTAAGTTCACTAACGCAACGATATAAAAATGTAATTTTACAAATATTAACGGATTAACGATTAACGTTAACTTGCGTTAATTCTTCCGAAATGTAACGCTTTAACGTTTAACAAAGTTAACTTTTTTTGTAGCGGATTAACGATTAACGAAGTTAACTATTTGATTAACGGTGCCCAGCTATGTATATATATATATATATATATATATATATATATAAATGAGTTGCTTAAGTGGTGCCCCTCAGTAAATAATTTTGTAAGAGTGCAATTACAGTCAAGACAATAACTTTGACTTTTACTGCATTTCTATGGTTTATGATAACAATTACTTAATTTTCTCTACTTAAAATAGGTATTTTCAAACTTTTCAAAAATGTGCTGCTTATACGATTAGGTTAATTAGTCTCCTTAGTCGTACCGCCTTTAGCTTTAGTCGTATCTGTTAAAATATTAAATATATTTGAGCCTAAGATCATTTCTGCTTCAGATATTAGTTACCAAGTTAGAACTTTATTATTAAAATAACATTTAAAATAAAAAAAAAAGTTTCACACAAATATACAAAATATACTTATTTTTTTGGGTGCAAAGACTAAACATTAGTGCTTACTCAATTTAATTATTTTATTGAAAGACACGGGTGTTTGTAATTCATAAAAATCGTATGAAATTTTTACAGGGTACGACTTAAGCAATCTCACCTTATATAAACATATAGATTAGCTCAAAATATCATCCAGAAAAGTTCTAGAAATGTTTGTTCACATACACACACAAATTATCTAAAACTAATTTCATTAACTAAATTTTTTAAAAAAGTGATTTCCATTAATTCAAAAAAAATATTTTATTATTGCTTCAATGTTCTATCATGACTAGAAATTATGTTTTACTAAATTATGAAAAATATTCATGTAAGTATTGATGTAATAAATGTATATAAGAAATTGCTAAATTGAATTGAAACAGTTCTAAACATTATAATTGAATTTTAATAACAAAGGAGCAAAATATATCATACAAAAATATTATTATGATTTTGAGTTTTTTATACTACTTTTAGTAAATTAATCTTATAATAATCGATATTTTTTGTTATCTGAAAATATTTTAAATTTGTAATAATAGATATTAAATGCAATAGTTATCATAAAACAAATTTACTTATAATTAAAACGTATTTTGTCGTCCTTTGTTTTGAGTAACACTGTTTCAAAATACTACAAAAAAATCATAAATTATAAATGCAAAAATTTTAGAGCAATTAAAACGTTTTATTACTATGTATTATAATTCATTTTTTTATCTCTAGAATAAGCTGTCGCATAAATTCGGAAACATAAATTTTCTTCTTTATTGCGTTCAAGTTGATATAGCATATTTTTATTAAATTGAATATTATTTGAAGATATTCATTAGAAAAAGGATATGAAAATTATTCATATAAATGATAGAGAAATGAATTTTTAATATCCATTTAGTTAATTGACAATAGTCAGATGAATCAAGGCAATGGTCAGATGAATTTGTATTTTTAAAGCCTGAATTTTACATAAAAAAATTTACTTGTAAAAATATTTGTCTGATGTCTAATTAAAAATGTCTAGATACTGTCACATCGCAATCAACTGTCAATTCAAAAACAAAAAAAAAATATAAACTTCAAAATTTCAAAATTCAAAATTCAATGTGGCCGATGAACATAATTTGCTATTTATTAACCAAACTAAAATCGCCGAAGTAGGAACTTTTTGATCAATCATGTGAAACTATCCATATATATAGATATATGCAAAACCAATCATCAAAAATTAGGTAAAGATATTTTTAAAAAAATATAAGTAACATTTACCAGTTTTTTCAGACAGAATCTGTTATATATATATCATATTTGGTTACAAACATCAAGAACTTGGCAATACCATATCTGATTTTAATATTTTTCATTTGAGATGGCATAAGATGTTTTCCTCATAAAGTGGTTCAAAATAGAATAAAATGCAATAATTTATAAATACTAGAATTAGAAAAAATTGTATCTGAATATATGAAGAGAAAAAAATTAAAAATAATATTTAGTGTTCAAATATACTAGTTCACAAAGCCAATAACATAAAAATGTGAGTGAAGACAAGCCGAAATACATTTTTAAATGTGATATGAGCACTTTTTTTAAATTTAGTATTTTTTTATCACATATTGTTCTAATATATAAATAACATATTTCCGAGTTATTGGTACTGCAAAATTATCCAAATTATTAATTAAAAAAATCCAAATACTTTCGACAAATAAATTTGAATATCTCTCAAATACATATCATATCAAATGATATGTATATATAAAATAAGAAAATTGTTTCATAATCTCTCATACCAGATACACCTGCCTGACTGAGATATGAAAAATAAAAAAAAAAAAAAATAAAAACTTTCACTCGAAATTAGTAGTCTACATCTCTAAAATGCTGTTACATTTGTCTTTCATTAACCACAGCTGGAACTCATCCTTGAAATCAAGAAAAATACCCAAAAATACCAAAAATAAAGAAAATGATCATTTCCTGATTGCAACATAACCACCAAAGAATATGACGGAACAACGTGGAATAATTCATAAATTTCTCCAAACACTTATCGAGTTTTCCTGCGACAAATTGTCTTCTGGAGCACCTAGGAGAAAAAAATTGGACAGATTATTTTTTAATTCTCTTCCGGAATGCATAACGGACAAGTGATTCAGTTGCATATTGGCCAGGCTGGTTGTCAGGTTGGAAGCGCCTGTTGGGAATTGTACTGTTTGGAACATGGAATCAGACCTGATGGCCAGATTTATGCACCTAAAGGTAATAATAATAATGATTGAGTTAAAATGCATTAGGTTAGGTTGGGGTATAATGGTCCGAATTGACTTTTAGCAAGTATACTGCTAAAAACGAAAAAAACTAAGGAAGAAACATTTTGATAGCTGCGTCGCCCGATGCTCGTTATACATCTTTTGCCATCTACTTTAAAATCCTCAACTTTTTAATTTCCCGTAGGGTAAGTTATTGTAATGGGCCGAAAATCGAAATTGAAAATTTTTACATTTCTCGGTGTTTTGAAAGTTTCTGAACATTTTGGCATACCTCAGAAAAAATGGATGTGTGTGTGTATGTGCGTGTGTGTGTATGTATGGATACAATTTTTCGTCCACGTTTTGGGGCGCACGGATCAACCGATTTAAATGGTTCAAAAAACATTCGATTCCTATTGATAGGGAGATGTGCTGATAAGTTTTTTGCAAAGGCAGATCCAGCAGTTAAGGAGATAAAGAGCAAAGAGTGCAGAAAATATAAATCGATTTTTTCGAAAATGTCGAAACATTCTAAGATTTTTGTAAGAAATCGTTTATTATAAATTTCGATGTTTTTTTTTAAGATTTTCAGAATTTAGATTTTTTGAAAATGATGGAAAATTTCAATAAATTCAATTTTTTGGAACCTTATTTTTTTTTGAAAATTTTGAATTTTTTTTTGAAAATTTCTGTAAAAACATTTTTTGCACACCGTCTACACAAGCAAAATGTTTTTTAAAATAATCTAATCGGATGATCCGTTCTCCAAAAAACTGCATAATAATTTTTACACACTTTGCGCTCTATACCTCCGAAATGGCTAGACGTGCCTCTTGCAAAAACGTCTTGCGATCGAGTACGAACCGAATGATTTTTTAATCATACAAATGGGTTATTCCATACTGTCGAGAATGTCGAGGACATTTGTTTGAACCATATACGTAAATTTTAAAATAAAAAATCTTGGTACGGAACCCAAAATAATTGACACAAAATGTGTACATATTATTAAAAACTCTATAAAATATCTGATAATTTGATGTTCATATGTCTAATGATTATTTTTACCGACAAATGGCATTTTTTTCACTTTTTTTGTTGAAACTCCATAACCGCTAGATCTGCCTTTCCAAAAATTTAAGCAGTTATTCGTTTATTCAATACAAATAAAATGTATTTTGAATTATTCAAATCGGACACTCCGTTCTCTGAAAAATTGAATTACAATATTGGGCACTTTTTGACCCGTATTTTTGAAACGGCTGGACCTGCCTTTGCCAAAAACTAATCAGCACGTCTCCTCATCAATATGAATCGAATGTCTGAATTATTCAAATTGGTTTATTCGTGTTCCCGAAATCGTCGACGAAAATTTGTATCGGCATGCACACATACACGTTCATTTTTTCTAAGGTATGCCAAAATGTTCAGAAACCTCTGATACGTAAAAAAATTTAAAAAAAAATCATTTTCGATTTTTTGCGATTACTATAACTTGCCCTACGTGAAGTTAATAACTCGTATATCAATTTTTCAATAATACAATTTCCTCCTATCCAGGTTGCCCAGATGAATTCAATTCCTTCTTCAGTACCTCCGGTGCTGGAAAATGTGTACCAAGACTTGTCATGGTCGATTTGGAACCAACTGTTATTGATCAGATCCGCACTGGAACCTATCGCTCCCTATTTAATCCAGATACTTTGATATCTGGTAAAGAAGATGCTGCTAACAATTACGCCCGAGGATTTTACTCTATAGGTCCAGAAATGTTGGATTTAGTTTTGGACAGAATTCGCAAAGTCGGCGAAGAATGTAATTACGTGCAAGGATTTATAATGTTCAGATCCTTTGGTGGAGGTACAGGTTCAGGATTTGCTACCTTGTTACTGGATTCTTTATCCAGAGATTGGGGCAGAACGAGTAAATTAGACTTTGCTATTTACCCAGCACCAAGAATGTCTCCAACTATTGTGGAACCATACAACTCTGTTTTCACTACTCATGGCACTTTAGAATTCATCGATGCTGATTTTGTGATCGATAACGAAGCTTTGTATGATATATGTGGAAGATTCTTAGATTGTCCTAAACCTACATACGTTAACCTGAATCGTTTGATTGCTCAACTTGTATCGGCCATCACGGCGTCTTTGCGATTTTCTGGCCAAGTAAATGTTGACTTAGTGGAATTTCAGACAAACTTAGTGCCTTATCCTAGAATACATTTTCCTTTATGCACCTATGCACCATTCATACCGAGCAAAACTGGTATGCACGAACATCCTTCTGTATCAGAAATTACCAGCATGTGCTTTGACCCCAAAAACCAAATGGTAAAATGTGATCCAAGCATGGGTAAATATATGGCTTGTTGCCTATTGTACAGGGGAGACGTAAATCCTACGGATATCAATAATAAAATACAGTCTATTAAACAACAACATACTATCCAGTTTGTTGATTGGTGTCCAACTGGGTTCAAAATTGGTATAAATTACCAGCCACCAACAACTGTACCAGGAGGCGATTTGGCACCTGCACAAAGAGCTGTCTGCATGCTTTCAAATAGCACTGCAATTAATGTTGCTTGGCATAGATTGGGACATAAATTTGATTTAATGTTCCGCAAAAAAGCATTTATTCATCATTATATTAATGAAGGCATGGAGGAAGCTGAAATGAAGGAAGCTCGGGAAAATTTGTCAGCTCTGCAATTGGATTATTTGGAAGTCGAAGATGATTCATAGGATTGAAAATAAAGAAAAACATAACGTTTGAAGTACTAAAGTAACTTGTATACATTTTGAAAAAATATACAATAATTTATTCAAAATATACTTTTTACACAATCTTTATTCGTACTTATAAATTAATTATTACAGGAAATCATTAAACTTTTAACATTAAAAATGCTCAACTTGGAAACAATTATTATTTTACCAGATCTGTTAAATGCAAAAATAAAAAATTAACCTTATCATTAAGCTTTAAAAGGCGCTTTGTTATTAGCATCTCTTGCCTGACAGTGAATCATAATTTTGATAACGTTTGCTTCAGATCGTTTTGCCAAAGCAAATGCTTCCTTGGTTTCCTCTAAGGCAAAATGATTTGTCACCATTGCTTTCAGGTTAACTTTGCCACTAGCCACCAAGTCCAGAGCAAGGGGATAGCTAAATAATGAAAATTAAATTGATCAGTTAGATAAAGTAATGATAAAGTAGTAGTAGTAGTGGTAAATTATTTTTTTCGTTTCTTACTCATTGCAATAACGGAAGACTCCTCTAATGTCCACTTCTCGGGCTAAAGCATCGATTAAAGGAACTTTAACTTCTGAAGCTCCCATGCCAACTATTACTGCAACTCCTCCAGTTTTTGTTGCCTGTAATTATAGAGTTTGTTAATACATCAAACAAATTACATTATTATACATATACTATTTCCAAAAAAAAAATAAGTTCACAATCGCTCTGGCCAGCCAAATTAAGATTGAATGAATAAAATTGAATTAAGTTGAATTAAGAAGGCAAATGAATGATTATTAGTATTGATTTTTGGTTGTATATAAATTCATATTAATAGTTTAATTCGCAATAAATTTAATATTAGGGCACTAAAACGAAAAGGAATTCCTTGAATAATATTCTTGTTACAAAACATGAATGAAAGCAGATCTATGTCTGTTAATATATACTTATAGTTGTTTCAGAATAAAAATTTAATTTAAACAAAAAGTGAATTTTGACAAAAATATAAATCTTATTTACTTTAGAATAAGAGCACAATTTGTGAAATGCCACTATAAAAATGCAAAATATGAAATAGTAATTATTGTCTGTAAAATTGTTTTTGGTAGAAAAATAAATGTATAACTTATAAGATTATTCGTTTCGGTGCAGAGAAATAAATAAAATTTCATATAAAAATACTTATTGTTGGAATATAAATATCATTCAATCATGAATCACAATTTTAAATACGTAAAAATATATTTATTTTTTGCCACTGGAGAGAATGGTCTCAACAATACAATTAGTAAAATACCATTATAAAAATGCATAATGTAAAATACTAAGTAATTATCGATAAAAAAAAATTAAATTGCTTTTAGTAGAAAATCTCATCTGTTATCGTTTATTTGTTGATACGAAACTTTGGATCAGAACTAATATTTTAGTAAAAATTAAGGAAGAACTTACTATTTGATGGACAACTTTTATCTTAATTTTTGGTATGAAAATACTGGATGAATACGTGTAACACTAAGTAAAAAAAGAATTTTAAAATACCATTGTTAAATTTATCTAACCAATTTTTGTTTTGCAAAGTTTATATATTATTTATATATGTTTATTAGAATGATAGTCAAATAGATTAGAGCAATGAAACTCTATCATTCTCACAACACATGAATTATTATCATTATATATATTAGGGTAGTTCTTAATAGGGATTTTCATATTTCATTGCTCGCAGGGGCTTAAATGCTTCCAAATTGATATAAAAAAAATCCCTAAAAATTTTAGCTCTTAATATTAAGTGTTAGATAGTGCGCAATTCAATCAAAACTTCGTATGGAAATAGGATGGAAAAAATTTCAAACATTTTAAAAATATTTTTTAGCTATAACTTAGCGACAAACGAATTAAAAGTGACAAATCGTGTCGTCTTTTGTTGAAAATTCGACGATCTACTACACACAAGTTTTTATAATTTGTTTTGTAGAGCGTCGTAATTTTGTATAATACTCATTCATTTGTTCGATAAGTTATGTCTAAAAAAAACATTTTTAAAATTTTCGAAAAATTTTAATGCTATTTCCATATAAAACTTTGATTAAATTGCGCACTATCTAAAATACAATATTAAAACTTTCATGGAATTTATTTTTATGAATTCTGAAGCATTTGAGCCCCTGAGAGCAGAGAAAGTCGAATATTTCCATATTAAGAACTACCCTAATATATATACTAGTTCATTTTAAGAAACAACTTTGTACTCCTAGTATTAATTTTATGATTATTTACTGACAAAACCTGAGACCTTGTTCTGGATGTGTTAGAGATATAAAATACTTGCCAAAATTGAAATTCTAGTAGTAAATTCATTTCCCATGCAATCTACAGCTTTGTCAGGTTTAACTCCCATTATTTTATGAATTTGCTGAACCACTTCGCGTTCATCTGCATTTTTCTCAACGCGCAATACATGATCAGCTCCTAATTTCTTTGCGAATTCTAATCTTCCTTCAAGGATATCTATAAACAAATAGAAAAATTCAAATACACTGCTAATAATAGATTTTTTATTGACATATATATGCAACCAAAGCAAATATATCTATAAACAAATCAAAAAATTTAGATGCACTGCTAATAATATCTTTTATTGACTAACCTACGACCAAGACTTTAGAAGCTCCCATAGCTTTAGCTGCGGCCAAACTTACAAGGCCAATTGGTCCAGAGCCTAAAATCAAAACATTGGAGGCAATTCCAACTTCGGCCCTTCTGCAAGCGTGTACGCCTACTGAAAGGGGTTCTAGAAGGGAACCTTCTTCCATGGTGACGTGGTCAGGCAATCTATCATGAAAATAGTAATATCATGATTAATGTTAAAATATTCAAAAAACGCATTGGTTACGACACGAAAAATAAATTTCCGGCTTATTTGACAGTGTATGACGACTATACTCGTCATAACAATTCGGGCTACACAAAATAGTCCTAGTTTACCATAGCATATACCTAAACAATTGTCAAATGAGTAATACTAATAACCATAAGTAAGAAAAGAATGTCAGAATTCTATTCTTGTCATTACAAAAAGTTTACTTTCTAATTCTTTCTATTTCATAAAGTTGACCAGCTTTTCAAAGTTTTAAACGATTTCTTACTTCTAAATATAGTACCAGATAACATTAACTGAAGAAATAGAATTTGTATATTCTGTTTCTCACTTGTGACAAAAATCAGCAGCATGTTTATGGTATCTGGTTAAATTTCCATGGTAAGGAGGTGTTGCCAGGCATTCAATATCAGGACATAAATTATAACGTCCTTCTTTGCAAAATTGGCAATATCTGCAGGGAACTGCTGGTTCCATAGCCACACGATCGTCTACGGCTAAGTTCTTCACATTTTTACCAACCTGGATAGCATAAAAAAGATATAATAATCTGTGGGATGAATTAAAAAGTTGGTTGATTACTATTACATACTTTAGCAATGACTCCGGAGCCTTCATGGCCTATGATCATGGGCTCTTTTAGAACAAAATCTCCGATGAAACCACGGGTCATGTAATGAACGTCGGATCCACAAATACCCACACAGTCGACTTTGACGAGCACATCTAGAAATTTGAAAATACAAAAAAATCAAATATAAAAAACTGAACTTGTCCAAAATCATTAAAGCTATTGCTGATTTCCCGGATTAAAAAAATGGAACCAATTCCTATATTAGAGATCAATTTTAAATCTAATAACCACTGCTTGTCTGATATCAAGGTTGCTTTATTCTTGTTTAAATTATATCATCCGCCGATAAATATTGTAATAATTTAATAACAATAATTAATCGCAATGCAAAGACGTCAATATGCGATTGTCTTCTACTGTAAACATCTCACATGTTCGTGTAACAGGATACACAATGTTTACAAACATTACAATAATAAGATAGCGATATCAAAAAATATTATTCAAATTTGAACTTTAGTATCGAGAAAATGTGAGGTCATTGTTATCTCGATTTCAGGCGCTTTTAAACCATCGATTTGGTGATAAAAACAGGTTAAAAAGCATTTGAGTATTAAATTAGGAAAAATACGTATAGTTTGCTTACCATTGTCGCTGATGGTTGGTATTTCCCGTTGTTCCTAGAATAAAAATTAGTTATTAGTTATCCTTAAGATTTAAGTAATATATCATCTCTTTGACAATTGTTATTATTGTTTTTTCAAATATGTATTAGAATTCATAAACCAACACATATGTTTAATACTAGTTCTATCGCTGTTATCATAATTTATTAGTCGAACATTTTTCATGGTCAATTGTACTGTAATGGATATTTTTCTGCAATTTTATTTACAAATAATATAACTCACTATGTCAATATTTATAAACAATAAGTCGAAATAAAATATACATTTATTTGAAAAAATTAATTTGTTTAAAAAATATTCAAAATGTTTATTAAGACTTGGAAAAAAATTGTTTTTTGGAAATTTTGTAAAATAACTTTTTTGAAGAAAATGAACCGTGTTCCCGAAATCGTCGACGAAAATTTGTATCCGACCACACACACACACATATACACACATTTTATTTGAAATTGTACAATTTCGAGAACCAAATTTGTCTCATCATTAGACAAAAAATTGCTCTAAACGAATAATTAAAAAAAAGAAACTAATTTTTTAATATATATCTAATGATCATTTTTCATCGCCAAATGTTTTTTTTTACTTCTTTATTGAATCTACGAAACGGCTGGATCTCCCTTCGCTGAAAATTAATCAGCACGTCTCTTTATCAATGGAAATCTAAGGATTTTTTAATCATTCAAAACGGTTAAACCATTTTCTGAAATCGTAGACAAAAATTTGTATCCGCACACACTTACGAACACACGCACGCGCATACATACATTTTTCCTAAGGTCTGCCAAATGTTCAAAAACCTTTGAAACGTTAATATATATAAAAATTTAATTTTTTTGCGATCACTATAACTTACCCTACGGCAAGTTAATATACAAATTATAAATAATTTTTTGTGGCTTTTGATCTGAACTCTCGTACTTTTCTACCCTATAATTTGATTCATTTTTGGTTTCAAACATTGTTTTTTTTTAATTATTTATTTAGTGTGTTTTTCTCTGATGGATGGAAATTGTACAATTCTAAATAAATTTCCAGTTATATAGATAAAATTTTACTACTAAGTAGTTAAAACGACAGCAATTGTTAAGTACATACATAAAAGTTATTGATAGAAATTTTATTGTATGTGCGCTTGCAATATTTACACCATGCAATGTTTTGATGGATATTCTTGATACAATGGATTATTGTTTAAAATATTTATAAAATAATGAAATTCCATGATTATAAGCTCAATATTTTACATTGCGGATGTTTTGCTATAAATGTTATTCGAATTCCAATCTATGTGCACTCGCAATGAAAAATTAAAATTCGCTTCCAATCTTTACTCATGTTTGATATTTTTGCAAAGTTAAGTTGTAGTAATCGCAAAAAATTCGAATTTTTTTTTTATCTTTACGCTTTAAAGTCTTCTGAACATTTGGACATACCTTAGAAAAAATTGAATGTGTGAGTGCATATACGTTTGTAGTATGTATATATGTACGGATGCAATATTTTATCGACGTTTTCGGGAGCACTGCTCAATCGATTCGAACTATTCAAAAAAGCATTCGATTCCTATTGATGAGGAGAGTGCTAATTAGTTTTTGAGAAAGACAGGTCCAGCCGTTTTGAAAATATGGAGAAAAGAGTGCAGAACATGGCAATTAGTGTTTGTCCGATTTTAATGATTCAAAAAATATTTTCTTTGTATTAACTTATCGAATAATTGACTAAATTTTTGCAAAATCAGGTCTAGCGGTTTGGGAGATGCATAAATGGGTATCAATACTTCCAAGAAATTTCAACATTTTTAAAAAATCAAAAAAATTCTAAGATTTTAATAAATATCATCTTCGTATTGTTTTTCAAGAGGACAATATTTTCAATATTAAATTTTTTTTAATTAGTTTTAAAAATTCTAAATTATCATTTTCTTTTCTGAAATTTGCCTTAAGGCGTGATTATAAAGAAATGTCACACTTATTATAATATTCTCTAAAAATGAAGCTCTCAAATGGGTCAAAGGGCCATCATAGTTATGAATGCATGCACATGGCAATATTACTCAAAATGCGCATGCCCAGTAAAACAGAGTTTAGTAACATATCGAGAATGAGAAAGTTTTAAGAAAAACAAATTTTAATTCCATACGTTTCGGCTGACATCATTGTCTTCAGTGGAATATTAATCTGGGATAAAAGGAATAAGAAATAAATTCTTAATCAATGAAACACTACTGCACCATGGTATTTATTAAGATGTGCACTATGGTAAAATCTATATATTTTGATATTATATAGATATAAAATATGTATAATATTTATTAAGTTATCGAAACAGAGCATGAGATAGAATTTTTCTTCTTCAGTTCAAATTTATAAAATAACTATAAAAGGTGTGCATCGTAACAATAGCATCGTGCCTTAAGGCAAACTGTAGGAACTCTTGTTCCTTAATCTAAATTTTTGAAAAAAGTATATTTTGAGAATTTTGATTTTTTTTTTAATTTTTGAGAATTAAAAAGAAAAGCCCATTCAAGTCGGTTGATCCACACTGTAGAAAATGTCATGGAAAATTGTTTGAACTTCAAATATTATAAATCTTTGTGTGAAACTAGAATTGAGAACAAAATTTGTACTTATTATTGATATCTTTAAAATATATGATAATTTGATGTGCATATGACTATTTGTCATTTTTCGACCGCTAAATGGAATTTTTAAAACCATTTTTTTCTGTATCTCCGAAACGGATGGGACCAACCTGGCACTTTCACAAGAAATTAATCAATTATGCATTCCTAATCAATTATTCATTTTAATCAATACAAGTAAAATATTTTAATCATTCATATCGGACGCTTAAATTTCCATGATTGGCACATTTTATCCGTATCATCAAAATGGCTAAGCCTGTCTTCGCCAAAAACTAATCAGCACGTCTCCCCATCAATATAAATCATAAAAGCTGAGAAATGGCATTTTTTCAAGAGAAGTTCTTTGAGTCTCGACATATATTATATGAAAACGCAAAAACAAAAAAAAAAACAAGAATAAATGAAATGAAAATTAAAATTTGAAAAAAAAGAAACCTGCGCATCAATATTTCCCATGCTTCTAAATTTAAAAAAAGGTTGCGTTGCCCTATTTAATGCTAGACTTACCAGCCTAAGATCTTCCACTTTATGCAACACTGCTGTCAGGTTATCTTCGGACATGTTGATCCTTTATTTTATACAGTTCCTATTTCTATTTTAAAAAAATATAATTATACTATTACCACAGTATTGTTAATACAACGCACAAATAATCGCGGCAACAAATTCCACGTCTTTACACCGCGAGGTAACAAAACACATTGCGGCGTATTCGCGTCAAAACATCCAAGTTATATACAGTGTTATCAATACCGCGGTCTAGGACGCCTGAAATTAGAAATTATCGCATAATTATGATTGAGATTTCAATCAATGCAGGACAGAGCCGCATTTTAACCAGTTAACTGTGGCGATCCTCTGTATGGACCGATTTGACGTCGTGACGAGTATATTCGTCAAGCACAGAGTAAGTTGCATTGCTAATATTTTTGCAAAATTGAAAAATAAGACTACATTTTTTGTTAATATAAGCAAACGCATCGAACTAGAGAACTAGTGGTGCATGCAGTGGCGTCGGAAACAAATTTTTTATGGTTGGGCTCATTTTTTTAGACAACCAGTGGGCTCATTTTTTACTTTTCTAGACATTTTAGACAATCTCATATTTCGAGATTGATGGGGCTCGAACCCACCTAGCCCACCTAGCCCACCTAGCCCACACGGTTCCGACGCCACTCTGGGTGCATGGCATCGTGCCTTAGGGCAAATCCTTGAACTTTCCGTACCGAAAACTAAATTAAAAAAAAAACTGCGAAAAATTAGATTTTTGAGAAATTTTGAAATTTTTGAAAAACTCGTTTTTTATATTTTGATTTTTTTGTATTTTGATTTTTTTTGTATTTTGATTTTATTTTTTGAAAATTTTGAACAATTTTTTAAGCAATCGCGCTGCATAGATGATTTGGAGTCGAAATATCAAAGCGAAAAAGCGCCGCGTAGTCGTCTAACGTGTAAACATTGGTAGGGAATTCATATAAATGTACACAAAATTTGGACTTTTTATTATAATCTTTATAAAATATATGATAATATTCAGTAGCGTCGGAACCGTGTGGGCTGTGTGGGCTTGAGCCCACCACCCATGAATTTTGATGGGGGGCTCAGCCCAAATATATATACATACAAATACAGATATATACAAATTTTCATTTCACTTACCGGAAAGTTAACTAGTGGGCAAATTCCTGGAACTTTCCGTACAGTAATTTAAAAATTTTAAAAGGTCAGAAAAGATTAGATTTTTTTTGAGAACGTTAATTTTTTTCAAACATTTGAAAAATCCGTCCTACCAAAAACTTGGACGAAAAATTGTATCCGCACATACATACATACATACATCTATTCTTCTATGGTATGCCAAAATGTTCAGAAACTGTTGAAACGTTGATATGCAAAAATTTTCATCTTCGATTTTAAGACAATTACAATAACTTACCCTACGGAATATTTAAAAAAAAGTTCAAAAATTACTTAAATTTTTTCAATTACGTCAAAAAAATCACAATATCAATTTTATTATTAATTTTCAAGTCAGTTCAGAACAAACAATTTTGCACCTTTTTGTTAATTCAGAAAAAATAGTTCAGCCGAACTAAATTACACTGTTATTAAATAAGTCTTTATCAAATAGCTTTTTCAAGTGTAGCCAAAAAGTCGGCAAAAGATCAAATTTTGGCTCATTGCTCACACATGTTTTCGGTGTTTCACAAAGTGTCGAGAAAAATTAAATTAGCAAATTAATTTTCGGGGCATAAACATAAACTTCTCCTTTGGCAAGTTAATAATTCAAGAAGCAAATCAGTAGATCATAATTTAAGAGGAATACCAAAATAAATTATTACCCGCTTACAAACTGACTTCAATAATGAATCAAAGAACACCTGAAAAAAATATAATAGCTGTAAAGTGCAAAATTCAAATGAAAAAACAAGTACACTTAAAGATATTCTTATATATTAAATTAATTATGAATGCTTCTTCTATAAATAAAAATAAACAGTCAATAATACAATTAAATAAAATTTCTAATAATAATTATATGATTACTCTCAAATAAAAAATGAATTTTACTCTCAATGGTGAAGAAATATTGCTATCATGAATAGATGTCATGTAATGTAAAATATCCTATTACAATAAAATTATTTATAATTCATTACACCCAAATAAAATAGGAATTATTCCACAATCATTTCAGCGGCAGGATATTTTACTCCAAAGAGGCTTGTGCACGCTTGTTGAGCGGCTTGTCTGCGGGCCTCTTTTTTATTTTTGGCTAAAAAATAAGAATAAACATTCAGAAAAAATCATTGAGAATTACACAATACACAGTTTGCAAAATCTATTTTACCTGCACCGAAGAAATCTTTTCCGTCCACACTGACACTAACAGTGAACATTCCATTGTTAGGGCTAATGCCATCGTATGTGCTAACATCACAATAAGTAATACCAGGACGCATTTGGCTAAGAAGCATGGCAGGATGAAGAGCCTCAGGATTTGGGGGCAACTCGGTGCGCATTTTCGGCAGCTTTTTGGGACCATTATCGACTTTTCCGTCTCCAGCATCAGCAGCAGGTTGTTGTTGCACTTCAGCCAGCTGGAATAAAAATACTTTCATGTAATATCCATCAGTGAGTGATAGTTGTTAAAATAATGAAACAAATATACTACATCTTTAGGATTATTGAGAATGTCTCCTATAAATTTCATAGCAGCTGCGGCGTCATTTCCCTACATGAAAAATATAAATCAATGAATAAACAAAACAGTTAGAGAGAAGAAACAAGGGCTGAAACACAATAATTGAAAAAATAAAATCGAGTTAATGAAATATGAAATTAACAAGTTTGATTTATAATGAAACAGTTAACTGTATTGATGAATATACTCGGCCTGGAGAAGTGGCCAAATATATACACAATGTATTGACGAATATTTTCGTCAAGCGTATAAAACAGTCATAATTCGCTATTTAGGGAGTATTCTAGTGAAGAGGCATGAATATTAGATCATTTTTAAATCATCGTAAAAAAGAATAATTTTTTTATCTAATTAACTTAAGCAATTTATAGTAATCACAAAAAATCTAAATTGAAAATTTGTATATATCTTTACGTTTTTGTGTACATTTATATAGGTTCCTTATATAGATCAAAGTACAAAAACAGATCAAAATACATAAAATATTTTTTTCAAATAAGTCAATTTTTTTCAAAAATTTCAAAAATCTAATTTTTTCAAAGTTTCGAAAACTTTTTTCTCAATAATTTTCAAAAATTTTAATAGTTCTCGTAATTTTCAAAAAAAAATCGAAATACAAGAAAAATCAGAATATGAACAAAACAAATTTTTCAAAATCTCTCAGAAATCTAATGCTTTCAAAGTTTTTTTTTGATAATTTAGTTTTCAGTACGGAAAGTTCTAGCAATTTGGCTTAAAGCACAATACCATGCACCACAAGTTATTTTTTACAATATAACAAGAGTGCAGACATATTAAAACAAAAAAGGTGAATGATTTTAAAAATTAGTGTTAGTTGAACAGGAGAAATGTGTCTCAAAAAGTTAAAAAATAAATTATTGACAAAATGGCGCCCAAAAAAGGGATGAATTTCTTACCACTTATTTGAGTTTCTCAATTTATTTTAGAAATAGTAAAATTTAAATTTGGAGATGAGGCTAGTAGTAAAACTGCTGTATCTCCAAAAATAATTTGAATCTTAAAAAAGTCTCCTTTATACACATTTTTAAATATTTAAACTTCGAAAATATGAAAAAAAAAACAGAAAAAAATCGATTTGTTTGAACTTCTACGCTAGAATACCTCCTATGTAATTCAAATTTGAAAAAATAAATTATATATATATATATATATATATATATATATATACGAATGAAACACTTAAATATATTAAATTAAGTCGAAAATGTTGGTGTCTAATCAGCCCTCAATCTACTTTTATATTAAAACTCACATTGACCGTGGAGCCAGTAAGATTTTTGGACATCAAAGGAATGTCATAACCTTCAGCTTGCCATTCCGAAAACAGTTTATGCAATGCAAAAGAAGCCAAATGCAACATAGGAATTTGGGTCTCCTTAGCATTTCCATTAGGCTTTTCATCACCCTCAGTCATTTCGACATCTTCATCGGTTGTTGTTTCTGGAACTATTTCCTTCCTCATTCTATCCAAAACTAAATCGCGCAAAGCCTTCTCTGCAGCGTTATTCTTGGCCATTATCTTAGAAATTCCTAAAATAATAGTAATCGGTTTTGTGATATTGATTTAATTTTGGTTGTTAATAAATGCAAAGAAATGTAAGCATCAGAAATTGGTAGACCTCAAGCATTGGATTTCTCTTGCAATAGTCGTTTATATCACACCTTATTATTTGATTGTAGCAAAAAGACTCAAGGAGGAAAATTATTTGATATATTCAAAACTACTTACGCAAATTGATTCAACAGCATACATTCAGCCATGAATGAATTTGATATAAATTTGTACAGACCGACATCAAGCAACTGTGATTGCTATAACATTAATATTATATTTGAAATTTAGCTGATTAATTTGAATAATTTTACAATTTTTGTCATATCGCGAGTGAGAACGACTATTGCAACCAGGAAACCTGAGTATTTTTTCACTAAGACTCATTTGTGAGTTCATTATGAAAAACATAAACCAGAATTCCAGGCTTGAGAAACGTTCTACTCTCCAGATGCACAAATAACTGTCGACCATAAACATGTACCTGTATAAGGGCTGATTTTATACAAGTACACATTTATTGCAAAAAAATTAAACATTAAATAAAATTTTAACACATAAAATTACATAAGTACATGCTAAAATAATATAGGTACTGATGGCATCTTTCAACAGTAAATTATTAACTTTCTCTAATAAATAATTTATTATTAATTAAGTATATTTTGCAAATAGAATCCTTTATCATATGCAAACCTTGTCCTTGGTAAGTCGATCCATTAACAACAACCTCAGCTTTGTATTGGTTTCCCTGTGCAAATGCCTGAGCAACCGTTTGGCCTAATTTGAATTCGGGAACATTAGGTCCATGTAACTCATTCAATACCATCAAAGCATTTTTAGGAGTTAATAGTTTTCTGAGCCGTTTGTTTTGACGATTTCTTCTTTCGCTGTTGCTGAGTTTTTTCACTTTATTCACTGGAAAAAAATATAAATAAGCATTATAAATGTGCATTTATAATTTACATCATTAGAATGAAATTTTTTCAGTATCACTTCTTCACAGGGAAATAGTAAATGGAGAATTTTTTTACAAAACTACAATCCAAAAGATTTCAAATTTGCGCAGTGATTAGTCATCATATAAATACAAATTTTGATTTTAAAAGTTTTAATATAATACGTACATTTGTTTTTCTTCCATGGCTTTTTATCGTTATCACCATCTCCACCATCTTCTTGCATTGCTTCTGGTTTCTGAACGGGCTCTTGCGCGGGGGGTTCATCTGCCTTTACTTTGGTGGGAGTTGTAGCAACAGGAGCTGGCGCTGGAACTGGAGTTGGAGCTTGACGTTGTGGTTGAGGTGATGGCATTACTTCCGGTTTTATTTCTTCTTTTACTTCAACCGGTTTGTTGTATGTATTTTGATTGCGAGCTTGTGCTTGAGCAAGTGGATATTGCTGCTGATTGTTCTGTTGTTGCTAAAAACATGAATTAAAAACTGAATTAGGATTATAAATGACATGATAAAGGATAAAGAAATGAAAAGTTGAAACTTTTTAGCACACTACACAATGTGTAAAAAATGTATAGTATTGAAATTATGTTACGTAAAATATAGTAATTTTTTGATGAACAATTTTGTAAAAAGTTCACTCAAAATAATTGTTTAACACATTCGAGTGATATCAGTGTTGTTCTTCAAATTAAACTAAAGCACTAGACGGATTATTTTGGTCAAGCCGTGAGCACCTGTTCCTGCTGGTTGTAGTTTGAGTTACTCCTAGTATTATTATAACGATTGCCATCGTTGTAGTGCCTATTAGGACCCCCAGTACTCGCTCGGGAGTTCTATGTAAAAAAAAAGTGTGTTAAAATAAATTTTGAATAAAATCTCCTTAAGGTTAACAACCATGGAACCAAATTGTGCTTTCCCAAATCCAATCACATGCAGAAGTGTTAGTTAATTTCCAAGTACCCACAGACAACTAAATACGAAAACATTTAGATGTTAATTATTGAAAATCAAAATGGCCAGAACAGAAAACAATCGATCCGTAGAATAAGGTGCCGAACGGGATAATACAGGTTATTAGTCAACAAACAATAACAAAAAGCAATAAAAAGTGTTAGACACAAGCAGTTATAATAAATATAAACCAAACAAGTAAATATATGCAGTAAATAACAAAATATTTGACACTTCTACGAACTAATAAAAATTCAGCCATTACTACTTACATAGGCCGGGCCAGTTCTTCCAGTACCCGATCGTCGTCCTAGGAAAAAACATTAAAATAAGCATATAAAACTCTGGAAAAACAGTAATATAATTAAATAAACGATATGTAGTTGTAATTACCAGACATCACGAATATATTCAACACGAAGCACGAATTTACTAAATAAAAAACTCTAGATTTCACAAACGCGTCTAACTCGGGCGAGCTCTGAATGCGGAATGGCGAGGTGATCGATTGTTTAATGCAGTGGAGCCAACAGAGCAAACACATCGGTGTGAAGTTCGCGAGAAACGGTTCAGCTTCACAGTGGTTCTCCACATAGATAAAAAAGAGTGAATCTCGACTTAAATAATATAGAATTTTGAAAATGTTCAAAAATAATTCAGTGCTTATGTTAAAAACAATTTTATTTTTTGAAAATTTTACATTTAATTGTAAATAAATAGATATTACTAAAACTTAATAGATAAAAAAAAATATGAGTATATGCATATACTCTTCTGTACTCTTCTTTTATCTATGAGTATATGTTTTTTCGGTTATGATTAAGGATTATAAACTAGTTAGCAAAATTATATAAAATGGTGGTGCATGGCATCGTGCCTTAAGGCAAATTGCTGGAACTTTCCGTACTGAAAATTAAATTTTTTAAAAAAGCTTTAAAATATTTTGAAAACTCTGAAAAAAAAGATTTTTGTGTATTTTTTACTTTTGGAAATTATTTAAAAATTGTGAATCATTTTCAAATTTTATATTGTAACGGTCATAAATATTATTTAAAATATGCATTTATATGTCTTTTAAATAAAGAGCAAAAAAGCGGAAGGGAGATATTTGACAACCTAATATACTAATATTTATAGTAATGCGAATAACTAATATATTTTATAAATAAATATTTTTATAAATTTGAGAAGTTAATGGAGTCGACATGTTTAACTATTGGTATATATAAGTATTCTCGAATTTAATTTTTCAGTATTTCAAATTAATTAATATTGCTAAAAATTAATGTATATATATATATATATATATATATATATATATATATATATAAACTTGTTCGCAACATGAATAAGTGTTGGCCTTTATTGTTATAAAATTTTGTCAACTAGTACGTAATCCATAATCATAACCAATATATATATATATATTGATTATGATTATGGATTACGTACTAGATGACAAAATTTAATAACATTAAATGCCAACAATTATTCACGTTCCAAAAAAATTTCTTTCTACCAGAAAATCCGATTTGATAATTGTAAGGTTTCTAGACGCATCTAGACGTTCCAAGTCATTCTGAATCGAAGGAGACCAAATTTGAAAAAAGTATGTGTGTGTGATCCGAGTTTTGACCCTTAATCGACAAAATTAATTTAGTATATGAAATCAATTTTATTTTTGTGTAATTATTTTTATTTTTTATATTGTAACAATCAGAAATATAATAATATAAAAAAGTATAATGTAAGGACACTTATAAATTTATTGAACTAAATAGTCATATCATAAAATAACCTAAAATTTGTTAAACAAAATAATTATATGGTAAAAGAATTTATACTTTTTCATTTGTTAAGAAAAAACTTAAATTCTAGTTATTAAAATTTATTAAATATAAATGAGTTTATAGTAAATAAATAAATAATAAATGAATAATTAATAAAATAATTGAATTATATAAAATTTGTAAAATATTGATATGAACCTTATTTTAATATCATTATACTGACAGTAAAATAAATAAATATATTAATATTTATAAATATTTAAATATGTATACTTACATTACTAAAACAAGTAATATATTTTAATAAGAAATATTTTTATGTAAGTTAATAAAATGATATCATGAATGAAGCAATTAATTTGTTAGTATTTGAAAACAATTATTATTTAACTGTAAATAAATAAATTTTACTAAAGATTAACGTGGACATACAAACATCAAAAAAACATTAGTTATATTATCGACTATGATTAAGGATTATGAACTAGTGGTAAAAATTACATAAAAATGAATGCCAACATTATTTAACGTCCTGAAGTTTGTTTTCAGTAATTTGCACAGAAAATCAGATTTGCTAATTTTAAGTTTTCTAGACGTCTCAAGTCATTTTGAATCGTTCCATACCAAATTTGGGGAAAGTATGTATGTGTATATATGTGAGCTTGTTTTTGACCTTTAATTGATATTTTTTCAAAAATGGCTGAACCGATTTCAAAAATTTGAAAAAAACATTTAATGAAACTCGACAAGTACTCGCGTTGAATTCTTTGTCGCGTTTTTGCTGACGCGTTTTTTTTAATTAGCAAATCAGTGTATTTTATTTCAATATTTTTATTCAATTAGCAAATATGTGTATTTTTTATCAAAATTTTAGTTAAAAATTTCAACCGATTTTGAAAAATCAAATACTGTTCATAAGATATTCTTTGGGAATCTTACTGAGTAATATAATTTAATAGAGATCGTAATAGTGATAAACTTTTGTAGTATAAAGAAAGCTCATTAAATATAACAAGCTTACATAAAGAGGTTTAATTTAAAAAAAGTTTTAAAAACTTTTCATTTTTTTCAAAATATTATTCATACTTATTAATATAAGACTTAAAATGACATTAATGACTTAGTATAAAATCTGTTCCGTTCTGTACTGCGTATTGATTACCGTTGACGTCCACACTTAAATAAAATTTATTTTCGGTACTAAATCAATTAAATTCGATGGCTAATTGGTTAATTCACTTTAGCAAAGTTAGCTTTAATAATAAAGCAATAACATCAGAAAACTAGTGGTGAATGGCATCGTGCCTTAAGGCAAATTGCTGGAACTTCCCGTACCGTAATGAAATGATCGAGGAATATTTAACGTTTTCAAATAGATTTTTATAAATATTGTAACATTGTCTAATATTTATAAGAATTATATAAACTGAACTGCAAAATTAAAAGTATTTATTTAAAGTATATAAGCTTAGACGTTTAAACAATACGAAATATTTTTGATATCAAAAAAAAATATATTATTTAGATATTAAAAAAAACGAAATAAAAAAATTCTTTCCACAAAAGCAATTGTTTCAACGAAACGAGCAAAAAGTTTTTAAAATCATTTACAACAGATGCATAGTTCTCTCAAAAACTCCCATTTTTTGCACATTTAGTTTCGTATCTCAGAAACGGCTGGACCTACCTTTTCTAAAAACTAATCACCATTTTTCTCCATTAGTACGAATTGAATGTTTTTTGAATCATTTAAATCGGATGCTCCGTTCTCTCAATAACTTGATTTCTATTTTCTGCACTCTTTGTTCCACATCTCCGAAATGGCTGGACCTGCTTTTTCCAAAAACTAATCAGCACGTCTTCTTATCAATAGGAATTGATTGCTTTTTGAATCATTCAAATCGGTTGATCCATGCGCCCGAAATCGTCGACCAAAAATTGTATCCACACACATAAATTTTTTCTCAGATTTGTCAAAATATTCAGAAATTTCTGAATGTAAAGATGTGCAAAAATGTTCAATTTCGATTTTTGGACGATTACAATAACTTGGAAACTTCAAAAAAAATGTGGTCGAGAAGCAAAAAATCCATTTTAATTGTTTGTTTTTTACTTTACAATGTATTATATACATTTACACTTGTTTTATTTAACAAAAATTCTAATATATCAATTACTCGAATCTGTACTGTTGGTATTTCCAACATCATTCCAAACAGCTCTAAATTGAAGAGCTACTAAAACGTATGTTATAATGGCACTAGAAATCTGAAAATAAATCGTGTAATTAATTTGTAAATTTCATATTATTTAATTAATATTTTATTAAAACTTACCGAACCTAAAATACCAATTGTCAAATTAAAAACGCCAGATGCGGTAAACATTGGAGGGTTGAAATAGATTCTCTTGTAGAACAATTCAACCTGAATTAAAAATACTATTAGTTTTACTAGACACGGGAAAATTTGTCTTGTTCGCTTAAATCTGCCTAATTATAAGATTTTTATAAATCTTTAGAATAAAAAAGTAAATTATATGATATCTTATTATACCAGATAAATTTATTGAGATTTATTAACTTCCCGTATTCAAAGAACTTTCTGCTTGTATTGACAAAACAATTGCTTTTGAGAATAAAAAATTATTACATCTTTTTTTTATTTTTCATAAAATATTTTTGTTTTTGGTTCGAAATTCGAAAAATTACCCAGGCTAAGCACAGTCTGGTAGAAATGTTTACCCAAGTGCGTTTAGACTATTTATGTACTGGAGCACTTCTCCAATTTTGTGAAAACTATTGAAAAATGTGAAAATGCCGCCAAGCTAAGCACAGTATAAGTGAAAATGTCGCATACAATTATTTGCAAGACTGTGACTATACGGGAGCACTTTTTCAATTTTGTGTAAATTAGGCAACTATTTTTTTGAAATTGAATTCGAAATGAAATGACGATTGTTATTGTTATAAAGATAAATTGATTAATGATTTACATTTGATTTGCTCAGATATAACAAGATAGCAAAAATAATGAAAGTTACAGTATTTGTAATAATATATTTGTAATATGTTTAAAATTTCTCGAATATTTCATTACGGTACGAGAAGTTCCAGCAATTTGCCTTAAGGCACGATGCCATACACCACTAGTTTATGCCGATTCTGCCCTAAAATAGACCAATGGTATGGCAAAGCTGTTACGTTCTAGTTTTTATACAAAATGCTGCTAAATACTGTCAAAAAGCCATGTGGTTGCTGTGCAGTCAGGCGTTTTACATATAAACTGCAACTTCACTCATATGTTATCAAGCCATATCCCAAAGATTCAGTTATAATAACATGTTTTTTTTTATATTTGTGTGTTTTCTAAACTAGATTTTTTATCTAAAACGACTGACTGCACAGCAACCACATAGGATTTTGACAGTATTTAGTACCACTTTATATGAAAACTGGTACATACTGCCTTGTCATAACATTGGTCTATTTTACGGCAGAATCGGCCTCTGAATATATATGAATTTAAATGTTTAATGATTAAATAAATATTAATAAATATTTCGATTAACATTATTGATATTTATTCAATCAAATTCTTACCTGTACTAGTTCTCCCATACTCAGGCTAATTAATGGATATCTGACAACGTAGCCGATGATTTTGTGTACCTAAAAGTGATTTGACAATTCAGCATTTAAAATATTTTAATATTACAATTAACATATAATATTTTTTAT